CATGAGACTCACTTGAACCGGGAGGCGGAGGTTGCAGTAAGCTGAGATCATACAACCGCCTGGGTGATGGAGTGAGCCTCTGTCTCAGAAAAAAAAAAAAAAGTCACTGCAGGTCAAATTAGGTCACAACAGGTGATACAGCTCTAAGCATGAGGCATCCTTTACAAAGCTCAGAAAACACATCTGTAACCCAATGCCCATATCAGGAAAGGCAGGGCTTTCCAGAAACCCTTTGTTATCTCCTTGCCAGGCTGGGTCAGATGGCCACTCACGGGAGGAATTCTGGCAAAACAAGCATTTAGCTGGGGACATGGCAACTGCCAACTGCAAGGGATTCTGGGAAAGTGAATACTGTATTTTTACCTGAGGCCATAGCTGCTGCTGGCCTCAAGGGTTTCTGGGAAAGTGATTAATTTTGGCTGGGTACCTGGCCCTCTAGCTGCAAGGGATTCTGGGAAAGCGAGTACATTTAGTAGAGCCTGTGGCTCTGGTTAGCTGCAGTGAATCTGAGGAAGTGACTATTTCTAGTTGTGGATGTGGCTTTCAGTAGTTGTGAAGGCCTCTGGGAAAAGGAATATTTTTAGCTAGGGGTATGGCTGTCATTGGCAGCAAAGGGTCCTGGGAAAGTGGATATTTCTAGCTGGGCCTCTAGCTTCAAGGGGTTCTGGGAAAGTAGCTGCTTTTAGCTGCTGACTTGGCCACATTTATGTGCAAGCAGTTCTGGGAAGGTAAATAGTTTTCACCTTGGCCCATTAATGCTCCTAGCTTCAAGGGATTCTGGGAAAGTAATGGTTTTTAGCTGCTGACTTGCCACATTTAGGTGCAAGGGATTCTGGGAAAGTAAATATTTTTCACGTGGGCTCATTCATGCTGCTAGCTTAAAAGGATGCAGGGAAAGTAACTGTTTTTAGCTGCTGACATGGCCAGACTTAGGCGCAAGGGATTCTGGGAAAGTAACTATTTTTCACCTGGGCCCATTCAGGCTCCTAGCTTCAAGGGATTCTGGGAAAGTAACTGTTTTCAGCTGTTGCCTTGGCCACATTTAGGCGCAAGGGATTTTGGGAAATCAGTTCATTCTGCAGGACGTGCTGTCAGGAAGTTACAGGCCTCTGTAGGCAAGGAAGGGAGTCTGGGTGTGTGCCCCAGCTGGGTCGTGTGCCCACAGGAGACGAGGAGGAGGAGGAGGACGGGTCCCGGGAGGAGCGGCTGCCGTCCTGCTTTGACTACGTGATGCACTTCCTGACGGTGTTCTGGAAGGTGCTCTTCGCCTGCGTGCCCCCCACTGAGTACTGCCACGGCTGGGCCTGCTTTGGCGTCTCCATCCTGGTCATCGGCCTGCTCACCGCCCTCATTGGGGACCTCGCTTCCCACTTCGGCTGCACCGTTGGCCTCAAGGACTCTGTCAACGCTGTTGTCTTCGTGGCCCTGGGCACCTCCATCCCTGGTAACACCCCGGGAGACTGCGGTGGGGCAGGCTGGGTGGGGTAGGATCTCAGATGAGCCAGGCAGGGGCAACACAGGATCCTGCCGAAAGGAGGTGGGAGGAGTCACACAGCGCCCATGTGGTGGCCTCAGAGAAGTACGGAGGTGGGGCAGGGTAGAAGCTACCCAGCCAGTCCCTAGATCCAAGATGTGGATAGAATCCTCCCCAAAAGCACCCAGGTGGAAGGTCCCATAAAACAAAGGTGGCGGGAAACACTGGGAACCTGACAATGGATTTCATAGAGAGAAGGCAGCAGGGTAGGGAAGAGCCAGCTGTGGGGAGAGGGGTTCCTAGGAAGACATTGGATGTCGGAGAAGCCAATCAGTGGATTCCTTGGAAACAAGCTGATGCCCCATCCCCCAAGAAACCAGACAGAAGAGCCCATGGAACTATGTTAGGGAACATGACAGGAACCGGCCCAGTGAACCTAAAAGTTTTTTTGGGGGGGGATGGAGTCTCGCTCTGTCACCCAGGCTGGAGTGCAGTGGCACGATCTTGGCTCACTGCAACCTCTGCCTACCAAGCTGAAGCGATTCTTCTGCCTCAGCCTCCCGAGTAGCTGAGACAACAGGTGTGCACCACCACACCCGGCTAATTTTTGCATTTTTAGAAGAGACGGGGTTTCATATTGGCCACGCTGGAGGTGAATTCCTGACCTCGTGATCTGCCCTCCTTGGCCTCCCAAAGTGCTGGATTACAGGCGTGAGCTGTAATCCCAAAGGAAGGGGCTGTAAATCCCACAGAAAGATAGTGGGTCCATTGAACTAATACAAGGCACATAGTAGACAGGCAGCACTTCCAACCTAATGCAGATAGTGCAACACATAGAAATCGGACAGCGAGACCCACTTGAAAGCGGGCAGTGGGCCACATCGGAAGCAGGCAGCATGTCCTATAGACAGTAGACTGTGCCGGCCAGGCGCGGTGGCTCACGCCTGTAATCCCAGCACTTTGGGAGGCTGAGGTGGATGGATCACCTGAGGTCAGGAGTTCGAGACCAGCCTGGCCAAGATGGTGAAACCCCATCTCTACTAAAAATAGAAAAACTAGGCTGGGTGCAGTAGCTCATGTCTGTAATCCCAGCCACGTTGGGAGACCAAGGCAGGTGGATCATCTGAGGTTGGGAGCTTGAGACCAGCCTGACCAACATGAGAAAACCCGGCTCTACTAAAAATACCAAATTAGCCAGGCATGGTGGTGGTGGACGCCTGTAATCCCGGCGACTCGGGATGCCGAGACAGGAGAATTGCTTGAACCTGAGGAGGCGGAGGTTGCAGTGAGCCAACATGCACTCCAGCCTGGGCAACAAAGCAAACTCCATCTCAAAAAAAAAAAAAAAGTTGACTGAGAGTCCCATAAAAATCAGGCAGTGAGTCCCACAAACAGCAGGCGGCGGTTCCAGTGGCGAGCAGGCCTAGGCGTGGAGATGGACTTCGCCTCTTGGGTGGGGGTCAGGGCTTTAAACCCACCCTGCCGGCAGAAAGCAGGCGACCGGGGAAGGCCGGGAGGGAGCAGGCGGATGCGCGCCCCGGTGGGTGGCGCAGAGCCCCTCCGACCCGCGTGCTTCTGCCCCGCAGACACGTTCGCCAGCAAAGTGGCGGCGCTGCAGGACCAGTGCGCAGACGCGTCCATCGGCAACGTGACCGGCTCCAACGCGGTGAACGTGTTCCTGGGCCTGGGCGTCGCCTGGTCGGTGGCCGCCGTGTACTGGGCGGTGCAGGGCCGCCCCTTCGAGGTGCGCACCGGCACGCTGGCCTTCTCCGTCACGCTCTTCACCGTCTTCGCCTTCGTGGGCATCGCCGTGCTGCTGTACCGGCGCCGGCCGCACATCGGCGGCGAGCTGGGCGGCCCGCGCGGACCCAAGCTCGCCACCACCGCGCTCTTCCTGGGCCTGTGGCTCCTGTACATCCTCTTCGCCAGCCTGGAGGCATACTGCCACATCCGAGGCTTCTAGGGCCTTGCGCAGAGACTCGGCCCCACCGCCCGCCCGGGGCTGGGGTGCTCCGCCGAACCTGCTCTTGGACCCTGGTCTCTTTTTCCCTCCAGACTCAGCCTCCCCTCCTGGGACTCGGCCTCCCTCTCCACCCAGCTCCGGGCTTTGATCGTCCCTGTCCTCTGTCCCCAGTAGCTCAGCCTTCCCTCTTCCTTCTCTGGAGCCTCCCCAGTTCCTCCCCTGCGGTGACCCCAATCTGGCCCATCCTGTCGGTGACCATCTACACCCCTGGGAGAATTTCCACCCTAGTCCCCTCCCCAGGAAGCCACCCCCAGTGACATCCTGAGGATTTTGAGGAGGGGGCAGGGAGAGACAGAGTTTCACTCTTGCCCCCGCTGGGTGCAGTGGCATATCTGGGCTCACTGCAACCTCCGCCTCCCGGCTTCAAGTGATTCTCCTGCCTCAACCTCCCGAGTAGCTGGGATTACAGGCATGCGCCACCACGCCTGGCTAATTTTGTATTTTTAGTAGAGATGGGGTTTCTCCATGTTGGTCAGGCTGGTCTCGAACTCCCGACCTCAGGTGATCCACCGCCTCAGCCTCCCAAAGTGCTGGGATTACAGGCGTGAGACATCGCACCCAGCCCATCCTGGGGATTTTAACGTCTCTCTCCCTGGTCACTCAGACTTTGGCTCTGCCCCCAAAGTCTCCCTTCCCCTAGTGACCCCCCTCCCACCCCACCTCACCCCATGCCCCAGAGCCTCAGAACCTACCCTCCCTGGGGAACCCTCGAAGGAGGCTCTCACAGACTGTCTCAGATCCCAGCCCTTCCCCACAGCCCTCAGGGAGCTCCGCTCAGCCCCGGTAGGGAGGAGCTGTGGGTGTGCAAGCCACACACCTTCCAATCCCTCTACTCGGGTTCTCGGGAGGACACTCATTCTCCAGGCTCGGAGACGGGAGGGGAGAAGTTTGGGGTTTCAGTCCCAGAGCTTAGCTGGAGGAGGCACATTTTGAACCTGCAACTTCAGACATTCCAGCGCCCCCACTCGCCCTCCACTACCTCTGAGAGCCCAGCCACGCCTTGGAGGGAGGGGCCTGTGTGTGTACATAGTGTGTTTGGGGGAGGGGGGACACGGGAGGGTGCATGTCTTGGGAAAAGGGGGTGACAGACTTAACTTTTGAGAGGGCAGCAGACTCCCTCAGCCATGAGAACCGGCTTTAGGGAGGAGGCCGGGAATCAAAGGGAGTCAGCTGATCTCCCCTGACAATCTGGAAGGTTCATTTTGCCCTCAGTGCCAGCAAATCCGGGCAGGACCCTCGAAGAGGAGACCGAGGGTCCCAGAGGACCAATGCTACAAGCCAGCAAATGCTGCCACATCTCTGCCTGATGGGGGGTGGGGGTGGGGGTGGGTGGGGGGATGGGACTGGGCCAAGAGATCTGGGTGGGCATTTTTAACTTTGGAGGCCATCCATCTTTGGTAGGCCATCTGCATTTTCTTACTGTTGATGTTTCCTGCCCAAAGGACACATTGGGCAGTGCCACCCACTCCTTGGGCCCCTAGGATGACCCAGCTACCCCCATAACTTTCTGCTTCCCACAGATTTTCAGCATTCTATCGTCCTGTTGTGCTCAGCCCCAACCTCCCAGACCCGTTACCCACTCTCCTTCTCCCCCAGCTCATCAGCATCAGTCGCTGTCTCTTTTCTGTGATTTCTGTAAAAGTTGCCATAAAACTTTGAAATTCTGCCTGAAAAAGTCCCGTGGGAAGCTGGGATTCAGGAGGAGGGGGCTATTAAGGTTTCTGACTGAGATGTGGGCCATTTTACCCACATCTGTTAAACCAGGTAGTCCGGGATTTTGCGGCCCGCGGGTCGTCTGCAGGACGCCCCCACATCCAGCAGCTGCGCTGCAGTCCAGCCGCCAAGCTCTTCAACTCGCCACGCCACCATCAGTCATGAGCTTCCTCTAGCCACGACCCCATCCGTCAGCCTAGCTCCTCCACTAGCCACACCCCTATCATCAGTCAAGGGCTTCCACTAGCCACGCCCCCACCGTCATCTTAGCTCTTCCACTAGCCACACCCCCATCCATCAATCTTGGGCTTCCACTAGCCGCGCCCCCATCCGTCATCCTAGCTCCTCCGCTGGCCACACCCCCATCCATCGGTCTTGGGCGTCCAATAGCCACGCCCCCACACGTTAATTATACGGGTTTCCACTAGCCACGCCCCCGTCCATCAGCCCAGCTCTTTCACTAGTCACACCCCCCACTCAGCAGTCGCGCTTCAGCCACGCCTCACTGCTTCAATCACGGGCTTCCACTAGCCACGCCCCCGTGCATCAGCCACAGACTGTTCTGTTCCTCTTTATGAGGCATCCTGGGAACACGAAATAGAAAGATGCTCAATTGCCTGAGCCAAAGAGCTGGGATTGATGGGGTTTCCTAAATAAAGCAACTAATTTTCTCAGATCCTACAGGAAGAGGGTGTGTGTGTGTGTGTGTGTGTGTGGGTGGTGCCAAAGGACACAGCCTGTGTAAAGGTGTGCAGACTTGTGAGATAGTGGCTTTTTCAGAGCCCTGCAAATGGTTATCATGAACAGGGTATGGGGTGCGTCGGGAGTGAACTTAAAGACAAATCCTAAGAGACTTTATCAGCCACACTAGGGAGCTTGGAATTTATCCTAAGAGCAAAGGGAACCTTTGGAAGGGATTTAAGTAGGAGAGGGAGGCAGGCGATTGATATCACCTGATGTATTTTAGCAAACGTTCCTCCTGGCTACTGGTGGCTGGGAGACCAGGGACGAGGCTGCAGCAGGGACAAGGGCAGAAAAGGAGGTGAGAGAAGAAGTAGGGGGGTGAGAAGCGGATGGTGAGAAGGGAGTGGTTGAGAGAGAATGGATGGGGCTGGATGAGGGAGTTCAGGGAAAGCATCCTGGCAGGAGAGAGGTGGTGTGTTCTTTCAAACGGAGCAGCCAGGGGGAACTGGGTCAAAGGGCTGCTGAGGAGTGGGCAGGGTTGGGGAAAACGATGGAAGGTGCAGTACTGCAGGGCTACCAGCAGAGGGAGCAGTTGCCATACCTGGGCTAGAAGGGGTGAGCAGAGGCACCCAAGGGTGCAGAGACGTATACCTGGGTCTGTAAAGAGTACAGTCACCGCCAGCCCGCGCTGGGGAGTGGGGCGCGGGGGAGGCTCAACCTCACTCCACCCCCACCTTCCAGTCTCCTGCCGCCGCCTCCCACTGGCCGCACCCAACCGGAAGTCCCATAGGCCCGCGGCGTGGTGGCTCATGGTCCTAATCCCAGCATTTTGGGGAGCCAGAGCGGGAGAATCGCTTGAGCCTAGGAGTTCACGACCAGCCTGGGCAACATAGTGAGTCCTTGTGTCTACAAAAACTTTAAAAGTTGGCCGGGCGCGGTGGCTCACGCCTGTAATGTCAGCACTTTGGGAGGCCAAGGTGGATGGATAACCTCAGGTCAAGAGTTTGAGACCAGCCTGGCCAACATGGTGAAACCCCCGTCTCTACTAAAAATATTAAAAATTAGCCAGGTGTGGTGCCGTGCACATGTAATCCCAGCTACTCGGGAGGCTGAGGCAGGAGAATCTCTTGAACCTGAGAGGTGGAAGTTGCAGTGAGCTGAGAACAAGCCATTGCACTCCAACCTGGGTGGCTGAGCAAGACTCCGTCTCAAAAAACAAAAAAACCCAGAAACAAACAAAAAAGTTAGCCAGACCTGGTGGCATGTACCTATAGTCCAAGATACTTGGGAGGCTGAAGCAGGAGGACTGCTTGAACCCAGGAGGTTGAGACTGCTGTGAGCCATGATTGCACCACTGTACTCCAGCCTGAGTGACAGAGCAAGAGCCTGTCTCAAAAAAAAAAAAAAAATGACCTTTGGCTTTAGGCTTTGATGAGTGAGAACAGAGAACAGGTTTGTGGAAGGTGTTGGGGCAGAAGGTGCGCTGATTTGGTGATCTGGAGTGGGAGGTGGGAAACTGAGTCAAGGAGAGTCCGGATGCAAGGAGGGGAGGTTTCGGGAGGAGCAGCAGGACCCTGACTACGGGGGCACAGGAGAGCAAGTGAGGCCTGCGCTAACAGCAGCTGGCAGTGATGGGGACTCCCCCCCCCATGCACAATCTCCTTAAACCCACCACAGGTTCTGTGCATCATCCCATTCCACAGAAGAGGAGGCTGAGGCTGGGAGAGGTGAAGCAATGTGCCAACATTTCACAGGTAAAAGGGCAAAGATGGGACAGGATGCGGTCCAGGGTGCAGAATGGGACAAGGGACACCTTCATCTTAACAAGCGCAAAGAAGTGGGGGTGTAGAGTCTGGGTGTAGGAAGATGAAAAAGGTCTCAGCTTCAAAGAGGGATTACAGGTGTTTGCGGCAGCTCACACCTGTAATCCCAGCACTTTGGGAGGCTGAGGCAGGTGGATCACCTGAGGTCAGGAGTTCAAGACCAGCCTGAACAATATGATAAAACCCCATCTCTACTAAAAATACCATAATTAGCCCAGCATGGTGATGGGTGCCTGTAATCCCAGCTACTTGGGAGGCTAAGGCAGGAGAATCTCTTGAACCCAAGAGCTGGAGGTTGCAGTGAGCTGAGATCGTGCCATTGCACTCCAGCCTGGCAACAGAGTGAAACTCCATCTTAAAAGAAAAAGCGGGGAGGTGGGTAGAGTCTGGGCACAGGAAGATGAGTAAGGTCTCTGCTTCAAGGAGGGACACACTGAGAGCTTGGGGCTTGGAAAACATGAGGGCTTTCGCACCTGTCCGCTCACCTCACCTGGAAGGTCATGAGTCTCACCTGGAAGCAAAAAGTTCCATGGGGTCAACTTAGGAGTGATTGACATTGTCCTTGGCAGCAGCAGAGCCTAGCGGCAGACCTTCTCTGTGCCTCCATTTCCTCATCTGGAAAATGGGCGATGATACTGGTAACAGTTCCTATGTCACAGGGTTGTTGTGAGGCTTAAATGAATCTATATTAGAATAACAGGCCAGGTGTGGGGGCTCATGCTTGTAATCCCAGTACTTTGGGAGGCCAACTTGGGCAGACTGTTTGAGTCCAGAAGTTCAAGCCCCTCCTGGGCAACACAGTGAGACCCGATCTCTACTAAAAATCAGCACTATCCAGGCATCATGGTGCACACCTGTAGTCCTAGCTGCTCCAGAGGCAGGGGTGGGAGGATCACTTGAGCCCAGGAGGTTGATGCTGCAGTGAATTGTTGAGACAGAGAGAGAAGGAGAGACAGAGAGAGATGGAGAGACAGAGGCAGGTGGATCACCTGAGGTCGGGAGTTCAAGACCAGCCTGGCCAATGTGGCGAAACCCCATCTCTACTAAAAGCACAAAAATTAGCCGGGCATGGTGGTGCATGCCTGGAGTCCCAGCTACTCGGGGGGCTGGGGCAGGAAGATCACTTGAACCCAGGAGGGGGAGTCTGCAGTCAGCCGAGATCACACCACTGCACTCCAGCCCAGGTAACAGGGCAACACTCCCTCTCCTTTTTTAAATTTTCCTCCAAACCCCCCTTAATTTTTTTTTTAAAGGAAGACTTCCCCTCCAGGGAATCAAACCCGGGTCACGACAATGAGAGTGCCAAATCCTAACCACTAGACACCAGGGAGTATCAGCCTCCCTGGACTCCATCTCAAATAAGTAAAAATATAAAGGCGGTGTTGAATGAGCAGGTCACCCTGTGGACAATGAGGTCTTAATCCTGCTGGGGACCTCTCAGGGGACTCTCAAGGTGCCCCATGTGAAGACCTTGGCTTATGTATCCACTAGCTCCTGTCTGCTGGCTGCCCAGGCCTCCTTTAGGGGGGCTGACTTCCAGCACTTTCCACCCTGGCCTGGAAATCAGTCAGGGAAGGGTCGCAGGTGCTAGAGTGCCAGCTGCCGTTGGGCACTAGGGGGTATGAGTGGGTCAGAGACAGCCTCTGCCATGATTACCTCCCAGAACGGGAGGCTTACTACCTCCCTCTTCCAGTGAGGCAATGCGTGGACACCAGAACAGCACTGACTGTGCCCAGGTCACCCTCTCTCCTGGACTGATGCCCCCAGCTCCCTGCTCGGCCTCTCCCCGGGAATCGGGAATCAGATGGGCTGGTACCTGGCACCTCCTCTAGGTTCTCCCATCCTGCTGAGGATCGAAGTCAGACGCTAGGGAGGACTTCCAGGCACACAAGGCCAGGGACGGGGGAGAAAGGGGTGGGCTCCAGGCTCCAGCATCTCCCGAGGAACCTCCGTGCTCTCCTCTCCCACATTCGCTCCCGTTCCTTGCCCTCTCCCTGCAACTCTCTCCCTGGGAAGTGCGGGGAACGTCATGGATGGTGGGTTGGAAGGGGCAGGTGGGGTCAGTAGAGGGGGCATGGACGGTGGAGGGGGTAGAGAAGGGGCATGAGAAGAGGAGGGAAGTTGGAGAGCCAGGCAGAGAGCCAAGAACAAAACATAGGGCCAGGGAGGCAGCAGAGACAGAGATATAGGCAGGACGCAGAGACAGACATACAGGCAGGACGCAGAGACAGGCATACAGGCAGGACGCAGAGACAGAGATACGGGCAGGACGCAGAGACA